ACACCCCCTCATATCCAGAGACACTTCCTTGGCACCCCCACATACCAATACCAAGTTCTCACCTGACTTTGAGTAAGGAATAGAAAAAAAATATTCTACATAAGGTACTGTTCTGCCTGTGTACAGCATACCTGTGAAGAGTCACACTGATGTATATGTTGACTAATTCTTCGCTGAAATGCTTCAGACCAGAAATACTTCAGTGTTCACATTTTTTTTTCATATTTTGGAATATTTGCATATATGTAATGAGATATCTTGGGGGTAGGAATAAAGTTTAAATTCAAACTTCATTTATTTCTTCTATGTACCTTATACACCTAGCTTGCAGGTAATTTCATACAATWTTTTTTTGTGTGTGTGAGCCTGCATTTTGAAGGATACTCATCACATGAGGTCAGATGGGGAGTTTCCCTCAGTGCCACTGTTAGGTAGGAGTTCAAGATGTCAAGATGGCGGAGGAGGCAGGGTATAAGAAGGGGGCCACGAGAGGAGAAGACTGGGAGACAGTCATGCCCATTACCACCACAACTCCTGCCACTGAGGACTCACCACCATGACCACTCCTACCCACGGGTTCCATATTTTAAAATGACCAACGGGGGTAAATTGGGTAGTACTCCAATTAGTTTTTCCCTAGTAACTAATGGGGGCAAATGGGGTAAGCCCTTCCATCAGGTCTGTGCAGGAAGAGAAAGCCTCAGGCTCAGCATATAAGGCTAGTTTCCAGACATTGGCCCTTGAGCCTCTCTCTCTTGCTGGGCCCCTCTGCTCTGCCTTTGTTTGGGACACCGAAGACCTGGAACCCACTTGGACATCCCGATGACAACACCAACCTGTTGGCATTCCTGATTTGGGAGTTTCAGATCAGGGATGCTCAGCTTGTGGTTGTTTTTGTTTTGTTTTATTTTGTTTTTCTCACCTTGTATTTGAATAAAATTCCTTGAAAACAATGAAGAGAGGYCTGAGTCTAGAATTAATCAAAGTATAGCAGTCTGGAATTTGTTCATTGATGTTGGTGAGGATGATTGATATCACTCCATAATGCTGCAATTAGTTTTTATACATTTATAGAGTCAATAAGCAAGATATTAGGTTATTAATGGTTTTAGTGATAGATTTCTTACTTTGGCTGCAAATCAAGAACAGATTGGATATTTTGCAATACATGCCTTGCTTATTAAGTTTAACCCATCAGTAGTCAGAAGAAAACAGGCAATCAAGGCTAGGAGAAAAACAATTTTGAACACCATGATTTTTTTTTTATTTTATTTTTAAGTTTTGATTTTTTTTTCTTAGTATTGGGGATTGAACCCAGCCCCTCAGCCAAGCTCCACAAGTGCTCTATCACTAACCTACATCTAAGCCCTTACTTTATTTTGTGATATTTTATTTTATTTTGAGACAGGGTCTCACTAAATTGTTGAGGCTGGCCTTGAAATTATGATTCTCCTGCCTCAGCCTCCCAAGTAGCTGGGATTATAGGCAGGCACCAATATGTCTGGCACTTTTGTTTTGTTTAACTTTTAATTTTTATTGGTGTTTACAAGTGTCCTTTTCTTAAAACAAATAAAACTGAGTGCCATGACACCTTGTGAATTATAATGCCAATCATGTAGCAGGTGGAGGCTTAGAGAAAATACACATTCCTAAGGGCTTTGAAATTCTGCAAAAGGAATATATATATATATATATATATATATATATATATATATATATATATAAACAGTCATATAGTGAATTTTAGTGTAGACTTTAAAGAAATGACAACAAAAGCATGTCTACTTTTAAAGTTTAATGCCTAAAATTTTATCTACAAAAATTTAATTATAATATATAACACTTTTATGAAGCAATAATATAATTCAGGAAAATGATCATATTTCTCAATTTTTTTTCCTAAATGAAAGAGAATTTGATTAATGAGTGGAAGACAAATTTAAAACCTGGCAGTCAAGATTTCCTTAAAACTACTGAGTCCAAATTGTTGGCTAAGGAGCTGCAGTCAACAGGTGGAGKTAGGCTTTCCACTAAGGCACAGGGTGAAGGCCACTCAACCACTTAAACCAGGAAGCACCTTGTAAGGTCAGCCAAGGCTCAGAGGGAAAAAGATGCCTTAGTCTTCTCATTCATCATTGCACTAAACACTACTGTGTGAGGACTAAAGAGTGAATTACAGCATTTCATCACAAAATATGCTTTCACATCACAATTATCACTGATGTGATTGGCCTCCTGCTCAGGCCAAACCAAAATCTGATGTTTGAAAGCATGAGTGCTAYTCACACTAAATCAGATATTTATACATATTCAATTGCAATTATTTCTCTTTTGAAATTCAGTGTTGACCATATGTCATATAGCCTTAGTTAAACACATTTTATTTGGAAATGTGTGTGGTTTTGAGCCCACAAAATTAATAATATGAATCATTTGTAATAAAAATAATCATTAATTTTAGATAAGATTCATTGCTATGATTTGAGGTATGGTGATGCATTTTTAAAGGCATACATACAGTTTTGATGGGGGTTTCACTCTTTTATGGGACCCACTTAACTCAAGCTTCCCAACCCTGAGCAGGTCAAATTTTGTCATTTGAATGAACTCTTCTGCCTACTAGAACATTCTGAAAAGTCCCTACAGTATTTTTAATAATTGATCATTTCCAAAAAATATTCAATATTAAAACAAAACTATTTCAACATTAAACTTTGCCGTTCACACCTCTCAAGCAGAAATAGAAGACAAAAACAATTAATATATATATACAAGAATGTTTATTATTTTCTATGATGGCTGTCCTTTACAAAGGCATAACTCTAAGGTGAGTTTAGAAAAAGACTAGGTAGTTGCTAACTTGTAACATGTGCAAACATGATTAGACAGAAATGGTGTTCCCAATCGACTTTTCAAAAGTCCTTAATGCCATAACTATGCAAAGAAAGATTCAGTGCTCTTTACTTGGGCCTTATTATTAGACTACAYATTCAGTTTTTACTGTATAGAAGACTGAAAGGCTTGGGTGGGGGGAAGAATTCTATGGACTTTCAGGAGGGAAATTCTTGGGGCTATTCATCTCATTTTCATCCAGGAGGGGAATCTTGGGGCTATTCGTCTCATTTTCAAGTGCRCTGTCACTCTGTGAAAGCAGGAATGCATCTCTCTGGGGGACTTCACTCATCCTTTAGTTTACACCATTTAAAGAGTCAGCCRCAGTTGGAGTTTCAGAAGACCCAGGGAGGCAGTGGTAAATAAGCTCCCCTTTGGAAAGCAAAGGGCGACAAAGGTCAGGATGAGAAGGCTCCGTGCCTCCTTTCTTAGCTGACAGCTGTGCAGGTGACAGATTGGAGCACTGCGTCCCAAATGGGAGAAGCAATCAGCCTCATGGACAATCGCAGATTTTCACGGGGTTCTTTCTTATCGCCCTGGAGAAGAATGAAGTGCAATCTTCTAACCAATAAAAGTCCTTGAGACCTGGCTGGGGTGGGGGGTGGGGTATGATGGGGCATACATCGAAGCACCACCACGGCTCTAGATTAGGGAAGGGGGGCTTCGTTTTCACCCAGTCTTGTTTTCCTAGCTCTTAACTCACCTTGTCGTTCCACCCAGCTACTGAAGTTCGAGGACGGGTCTCTAATGTCCTTAGGGTACGGTCTGCGCAGGGGCAGTACTAGAGGCAATCTGCCTATCCCCTCCTGCTCCCTACACCTGCCTCCACCAACTCCCTACAGAGGGATTCTGGATGCGTATTCTCCCTCTTTCCGGGACACTGCGGAGCACCTTCGTTCAACTATCTAAAGGTGCCTTTCTTTTCCTTTTTTTACGCGAAGATTAACGAAGTTCTCCCCTCTGTCTCTTCTCTTCTCCAAGTAGAAGTGTTCATCCACTCCGCAGCAAACGCGGGGAATATTCTAGCTCCAGGCCACTTTGCCCCAGGATTTCGGAGCTTCTCAGAACTGGAACTTTGAGACCAGTGAGGCTGAGAGACATCCAGAGAAATCAGGAAACTGGTTCTTTTTCTTCCAGATCGAGTTCCCCTTCCGGACCAGCCCGCCCTGGTGGGTCCCTGTGGCCACCTCAGGTCGCGCGCTCCCCCCGGGTACCCCGATCGCTCTTCCGCCCCTTGCGTGCGCCCAGTCCAGGCAGTTCTTCACCCAGGAGCCCGCCTCTCCTATCCTGCCCCCTTCTGTCTACATCCCAGGTCATCTACAATAACCAGCGTGTCCCTTTTTACCTCCTCCCCTGGTCGCTAGATAAGTTTGGCACCCCTGAGGTCTACACTTCCTCTCCCAAGTCGGGCAAAACGCCTCTGAAGAAGAAAGTAGGAGAAGGTCTCCGTAAACTTTGCTCCGCGGACTTTCCAGTGTCGGTGGGAGAAAGGGTGCACACACACCTGCCTGCTCACGGGCCCAGGTACACCTGCCCGGGAGCACACACGGAAAGAGGCAGATTGCCAGTGGGCAGTTGTTAAGGGCACATGAAATTCGCTCGCTATAGCCGATCGGTTCTCAGGGCGCTGACGGTGCATCACAAGAGAATTTCGAAACGGGCTTGGAAAGCGGGCACCAGAAAATGGTGATTCTTAACACACGCAGATACACTCGGGCGTCTGCACACCGAGCAGTTCTACGGAAAGGCGCACACTTTTTGAGAGCAGCTCGTGGTGTGGGCAGCACCGTGTATAAATCTCCTCCGGGGAGGCTTCATCTTCGGAACTGGAGATCCCCTTGGTCCACTGGACTTCTCAGTATGGTCGAAATCAGCCCCGCTCACTTGAGGATAGACACCCAGGAGCTTCCGGAGCCCCGGTCTGCAGAGTCCCCCAGGCAGGTGCGGGTCCCCAGCCCGGTCAAGCAACAAGCGGACAGTCCGCGGGAGGGCCGGGTCCCTCTTTGCCCCTGTCCCCGCGCTTGTCACCTCTCCCCGCCCCCACTCCCCAAGCAGCCAGCGGGGCCAAACGAACGCCGGGGAAGGAGAAAACCGAGCGAGCGACTCACCCCCAGCTTCCTGCTGCGGATTTTCACGTAGCCCTGCTTGACGATGTCGTTAAAGTTGGAGGCCATGGCCAGCGCGTTCGGGCTTGTCCGCCGGGCGAGCTGCTTCCCGGAGTCGAGAGCCGCCGTCCGCCGCCGGGTCCGCACAGGTCTCGCATCCAGCCAGCCGCCGCCAGCCGCCGTGCCGCCGCTCGGTGCTCCCCGAGCTCCCGCCGGCGGGGACGCGGGGTCGCAGGCAGGGCCGCCGCGATCGGAGGACGGGGCCCGGCGCCGCGAGCAGCGCCAGCCCTCCGCGTTCCGGTCCTCACCTCCGCCCCCCGCCGCGAGCCGAGCACCGCGGCCCGCGCCGCCGCCAGCTGCGGGCGCCCCCTCCGCGCCGCCCCCGGCAGCACCCACGGGCTGGCGCCTCACTCGGCGGCGCACAGCTGGCCGGAGCGCACCATCGCGGCTCCCCGGCGCGGGGGGAGGGGGAGGGACGGCGGGGCGGGCCGATTCGCCTGCCCAGCTCCCTCCCCCTGGCCCGCGGGGTGGCTGGGCTCGAAGATGCTCGCAAGACGCGCTCCATCACTCCGGGTCGGGCGGGGAGCGGCACCCGCCACCCCGCGCCCCCGCCACCGCGCCCGCCGCTCCCTGTGCCCGCCACGCGCTCCCGGGTGCGGGATGCCTAAGGACAGGTCTCATCCTCCCCGGGCTCTCATCTCCCCTCCCAAGCTGGACACGGGGACCGGGCGGTGGGGAGACTCGCCACGCGGGAGGCCGACGGAGCGAGGCAATGTTTATTTCAGGGGTGGTGTTTACAGTGCATTGTGATTCCCAGGCACACGCGGCCKTTCCAGGTCTTTGCCCCGTTAGGAAGTGTAAATCGACGCCAAACCCTTCCCGGTGCACACAAAGAGACCAATCCTGCGCATGTGTCTAATCCTCCTGCCGCTGAAGAGACTGAAGCCATCAGGCGAGGCAGCCGGCGCCGACTTCCTCCGCTCCAGAAGCAAGACCGACCCAGGGGGCTTGATTTATGCACGCGTTTTGGTTCTCCTGGCTCTCCATCTACTCGGGAAACAGAGAGCATCGCCGTGATCAGCGGCTGCCCTGAAATGTTTGATTTTTGTAAAATCAAAGGAATGAAGAACTTCTCCCCTTGGCCCCGTGTAGGAACAGATATTTAATGCATTGGAAAGATTTTAATTTTTTAAAAAATGGTATAGTTTTCTAAGATTCAAGGGAAAAGAGAGTATTGAATGTTGAATGCTGTCAATACATGGACTACTTTGAGCACTCAGTGGCTCAGGTTTTYCTAACTAGAAAATAAAAGCCTAAATATTGAAGATGTTATTATGACTCCTTTATTTATAAATACTTTATATTTAATGAATGTTCAGAAGATTATAATAAACAGTTTATTTCTGTTTATTACCTCGAGCAGTGTTTTCCAGGTTCTCATTTAAAATGTCTTAGCCCTATTTGGAATACAATCAGAATAAGAGAAGAAACTGAATTTGATTGAGAAAATAAATAAATAAATAAAAGCTTGGAGGACAAGTTAGCACGTCCTTTGCCCCAAACAAATGTGCATCCCAAGGATGATTTTTGTCCCATCCTTAGCAAAAGTCTCCATCTAGAGCCCAATGGAAATCCTGAATTTCAACATGCCCTATTTCAGTCATTCATTCATGTACCAAGTTGTTCTCCCTCCCCCCCCCCCTTCTCTCTCTTTTCTGTTTTGGACTGCCCACCATGCAAACTAGCAGATGCTTTGGCAGAGATTTAAAACAACATGGCAGAGTTCATTGGATTTTTCACTCAGAAATGAGCTCTCAATTTCTTTCTGGCTTTTGAGAAAGTTTTCAAAGCCCCCTATTAACTCCACGTGATGCCTCCTCTAAAGAACTGAGACATGTGTCTATTCAACTTGTATACATGACTGCTTTCTAAAATATAAATACAACATTTCATTCAGTCCTTTGCAACTATAAATGTTTAATGGAGCATTGTCGCCATTTACTAGAGAGGGAAACTGAGGCATTGGAGTCTTCTACTACACAGCCAAAATTTTGAGATTGGATTTGGAACTGTTGCAATTTTCATGATCACTCACTTCCACTTTCATTTATATGATAATCTGTGTCCACAGAAGTTAGGGATTACTTTTTGTCTAAGCAATTGTTTTAGGCTTATGTAATGATCAGGTATGATAGGCAACTGTGACTTTTAAGGATTATGTAATGATTGTACCTGCATTTTTATATTTATGAAGACCATTAATATGTTTAAATAACTTAAATAGTCTCCTATATTTGCTTTTCATTTTAAAATTTCTGATAGAACAATTTGTGTGTGCTATTTGTTTGCAGGTTGAAAATACTGTTATTTGTCATTAAGTTTTCCCAACTATGAATTGAGTTCATTGTATCCTAATGGAATTATTTAATATACTCATATAAGTCCCACATTTCCTATTAACTACCAATGTGACTTAGAAATTTGATTATATTCTTCTTTTTTTCTCCAAAAATAATCCATAAGAAATATTTATATTTCTTTGAATCACATTGCAGGTAACCACATGTCTAGCTGTCCACTTGACTAAAGTGTCAAAATGCTGCCACCTTGAATTCTAAAATGCTGTCTGTCATTATAGAATTGTAAAATATATAAAGYATAAATTTCATCTAAAATTATAAAAGATATTATAAAATTCTCCATCAATTTTGTACTAATTGCTTCTGCTGCCACAGATGATTTTTGGTTACATGTATTATTTCATTTAGAATTGAAAATTTATGGCCTTCTAATTTTGTTTTATTCCTGGATTTATGAATTCTAATTCCTTTACTAAAAACAAAACTAAACAAACAAATAAATTAAGAATAACTTTCCATTTTATACTAGAAGATTTTCCTGTAGTTCAATAACTCATGGTCATTCTTTTCTGTATTTGGACAGAAGGAGCTGCTTCACTTGACATTCTTATGCTTTTAACAGATGCTCAAGAACATTACCAGGCTTATTGTTGACAAGAAGTATTCCAGTTTCATCTTAGACACTTCCAACTCCAGACCTAGAATTCATTACTTCTCTTGAACCCTTGGTTCCAAAAATGGGGAATGGGGAATGAGTTTCAGTTTCCATAAACTAGTTGCATGGAGTATATGTATGGTGTGTGTGTCTGTGTRTGTGTGTGTGTGTGTGTGTGAGAGAGAGAGAGAGAGAGAGAGAGAGAGAGAGAGAGAGAGAGAGAGAATGTGTTTCCTAGTGTTTCTAAACTTTTCTGCTAAAAAGTAAGGGAGTTCTTTTACTATAGAAATATATTTCCAAAGGAAAAAATGTTCTCAATTTTGAAGGATATTTCTGATTGAAATTAATGTTGGGAGAGTCAATATTAAGTATTTCATCTATTTTTCTAGTTTTATGTGAAATATTTACAAACTTTCAAAGTTGAGTCTATCAAACAAGTACATTGACCTATGATTCCTTCCTCTCTGTTTTTCCTCTCTCTTTGTGGGAAACCATTTCATTAGTTTATTCAACTATTATTATAAAAGGAGTTATATATGCAGAAACATGCCAGACAAAAAAAAATCCAGAATGAGGAGAGGCACTTGGAATCCCAATACTGTCCTGGCAATACTAAAGCAGGCTGAGAGAATTGGCGAGCTGCAAAAATATGCTAACTTTAATGAAAAAGTAGAGATAACTTGGAGGAGGAACCAACAGTCTATAGGGCAGAGCAAATAATTATGGGTAATTATACTCTGACCTTGACAGCTAATCCCATTTTCAATATTTCTTCATCTGGATTTCAGAATCATTACGGACCAGTAACTCTGTTGTTTCCATTTTCACCGATTTTGAATAGAAATATGTATAGTGTTTGTATTATGCTTATTCCATCATTGGATGTTGGATTTGGGGAAGCAATAACTTGTCTCTTTAGTTTCAAAGTTTTGAGAAAATATTAGTTTGAGAAAAGATCTATAGTTGAACAACTGAGCCTAAGGAGTTATATTGAGAAGCCTGATTTATCTCACGTCCTGTTTTATGTAACAAGTTTTCTGTACTTGGAGCCCATGCTATTGTGGGGCAAGGATTTGAGGGCTTGGGGAGGGGGAACAACATATTTTGCACATGAAGAAGATGTGGTACTGTGGGCAGTTCTAAGATGGGCCCCAGAGGACTTGACCTCCTTATAATCCCTCTTCTGGAACCTGTGTTGGATTTATTGAACTGATTCTGACAAATACAGTATCACAGAAGTGACAGGATGTCATTTTCAAGATTAAGTCATCATAAGAATGTGGACATGTTAAGTGTCTTTTGGCTAGATAACATGGACCCACCTCCTGGGTGCCACCTAACCTAAAGATGTCTGCCAATTCATGTGTCTTACTCAAGACACTGGGGAAGGTGTATTCCCAATACTTTTCTGATGCTAATTTTTAGGAATATTTTTAAATTCTATTTTGGGGGCATGTCTTTTTGTGGGGGAGAAATCGAGTTAGGATACCCTCAGCATCCTTCTCTTCATGCACCATGAAATCATCAGGAAGATGGCTCCGCAGTGCATCCCCTTCTTAACACTCTCTTGAGATTTACCTACTCAGGTCCCTTAATCTACTATATTTGAATCTGAAGGTCAGAATTCTTGTTTTGTGGTGCCTTCCCCCACTTCCCACTTGCATTTTCTCTAGATGAGATTTAATATTTCAGAGTGCTCAGGCTCAGGCCACTTAGAACACCTGCACCTCTGGGCACAGAAGTCACACAATCACCTGAAATTGGGGATGTCTGTACCTTCACCCAGTTCTAAGAAGGATCTCTTCCTCCCTCTACTATGAGTGGGCACTCTGCCTCTTGGAGATGTGTCCTTTTTTGATGTGTTTGGGGGATTTTGATTCCCCGGGCAGCCAGAGACCATTCTCCCTTCTCCTCTCTCCTACATGACTACTCTCCCACCAAGGGTTTGTCCCTGTTGTTGACGGGCCAGATCCCATCTTATTGCACAGTCTTTGGCATACCTTGTCGCCTAGTTACGTGTAGCAATTTCATGTGGATTATTTTTGTTTTCTAATCTAATTGCAATCTTCATGTGAGAGGATTTAAGATATTCAAATTATTTGGTTGCCCACACAAACATTATTTTCCAGAGTAGCCCCCTTATCTTTCAAAATATTCATGATATATTTAAGTATTTAATTAATTTATTTAGCCCGATTGGAGGGAATCTTAATATGGATATTTTTTCTCCAATTTAATCACACTTA